ATGGAGCTACAAAAGAGAAAAAGAAAGAGATGTGTGAAAAGTGAGTCTGACCTGCTGCTGCCATAATGGAGAGAACAACACTGAACAAAACAGTGAGGAGCAAGATGGTCTTCATGATGAAGATGGTGAGGAGGACGAAGTGATGATGAAGAAACTCAACGTCTGGTCTGGTGAGAGTCAGAGGTGATTAAAATTAGTTATAAAAAGTGTTATAAAAAAGTAAATATGATGGAAATGAAAGCAGAGGTTGAGCAGCAGTGTTACCTGTCAGGTCGACTGTATGCAAGCTGATGATGATGATGATGATGAAGATTAGTATGATGTTGGTGAGGCTGCTCTGCTCTTTATATACACAGCTGAGGCCAGGGCAGCACGTTATCAAACACACTTAGCCCTAAAACTTTGTGGTTCATTAACCCTATTTATTTATTTTTTTATTGTGTTATAACTAAGATAAAAGACTCTTGTGAAAGTGATGACAGAAAATGTCAGCACTTTCAACAAAAGAAAAATCAGCGAAAGTAAATTCAACAAGTGTTAAATGCTTGCAGGGGCTTTTGTTTATGTTCGTCCCTATGCTGATGATGTGTTACTTGTTCCCTTAAACTTTTACAAGCTCTCTGCCTGTGAAGGGACCAAATTAGTCATAATTAGTAATAATTAGTCTGACAATTTTTAATGTCAGATATAAAAACTTGTTGTAGGTTAAATGCAATTTAAATATTTGCATGATAGTATGCTGTTATCCTGACATTTTAGTTTAACTCAGTGATGTCAAACTCCTGGCCTGGGGGCCACTTTCAATCTGGGAATCCCTCACATCTAGTCCAATGAGAATAGGGAAAAAAAACATTTCCATTATTTATTTATTCATTTATGATATTTCAATAATGATTTTTATTCATTTTCGTGAAGAAAAAATGTAATTTATCTAAAATTTTTGTCTTGTTTTGTTTTTGTTTTGAACTTTGAACACTTATGTGGATAAAACCCGCCTGGCAGCATTGACCCTCAGCTTATTTTGGCCTGAGACCCCTGGTTTAACAGATATTCAAAGTGACAGTGAACACTGTCACTTTTGTGTGTTTTATGAGTGTGTCCAGGGTGAGAAAAACAATAAACCAATAAGGAAGGAATTAGAAAGCAACGCCATCACCGATACAGTGTCATGACTGTTTCAAAAGAAGTGATAAAACAATACTGGAATAATTCCTGGTTCATTGTCAGTCAGTTTAAAAACATGTTTTTCAGAAGGGAAACGGCATATACTACACGAACTATTTCAGGACCTACAACAACTTGTCTATCTATCTATCTATCTATCTATCCATCTATCCATCTATCCATCTATGCATCTATCCATCCATCCATCCATCCATCCATCCGTCCATCCTGCACCATGTTTTTGTTGCTTATTTGTTGTCTGACGATAAAGATAGCATAAAGAGTTTTGAGGGCTGAGAGCTTTGGAACAGATTTCTTTTTAGTTAAAGTTCAAGTTTAAAGACACTTAAATTGTAAAAGATGATCAAGGTAACAACCACCACAAATTTCAAAGTTATCTTATCTAAAAGTCCATCCGTCTGTGCCTCAAACTACTAAATGGATAAAGCAAATAAAACCAAGAATCAAAGAAAAAAAAAAAAAGGCCAAAAAAATGGTTTAATCTCATTTGACACAAACAAGTTCCTTCATTAGTTGAAAAAAACTAAACATATTCAGTATATTCAGTATATAGTGCATTGATTTCAACCTCCCTTCCCGAAAAATGAAGATACATCATTTCTTCCAAATTCCAACTAAATATGACACACATTCCAAAATGTGTTGTAAATAAGTGTGTCATCAACAAATAAAGGATCTTTTAGGACATATTGTAATGATGGAAATGTGGATTTTTAGGAAATATTTGAACTGTTTATTGTTACAACGTAAAAGAAAATGTAGCTGCCTACATTTTTGTGACAGTGTAAGAGTTTCCTCCTCTTTATTGGCAGAATTTTTGGCTATTGTTTGTATTCAGAGAGCGACTGGACAAACGTGTGGGTGGACAGGATGAGTAACAGTTGGTTCCTCCCCCTCTGATGCCCTCAGTGTGGCCTTTAGTCAGATTCAAAGCAGGCGAATCCTGAAGCCTCAGTGTTTGATTGTCTGCATCCAATTCTTCTCCATCTTTTCCTTCAGGCTAACATAAAATTAAAAGTGAAATGTTTTTTTTTTCTGGCGCAAATGAATGATTGAAAGATGCCAACAAATGTCAGGAGTCACGAGAAACAGGTTGTAATTTGATGTGAAAAATTATAGTAAATAATAATCTTGACTTTAATCCAGTCTCAATGTGGCCCAAATACTCTCTAGTTTGTGACAGTTTGTCAGGTGTTGAAAACCACTAGTTTATATTTACCTCCTGAAAGTATGACAAATTAAGCTTATTTTTCCAAAGCTGACTTTTTATTATAGAATCTTATATTTCTAAGGGTGACAGAGACATAAATAAATGGGAAGAAAAGAAGTTTGGCATCAGTGGACACTCAACCAGGTGTTTTATTGCACTCATATATTTAATGCAGTAGTTCATGTACAAGGAGGGGGAGAATCTTTAGCAGTAATGTTTTATGACCTGAGGCCAGAAGACTTACAATGTCACTGGTTCCATGGTGATTCCTTCCATTTACAGCAGCTGCTCTGAGGTAAAGGAAGTTACGCCTTTTTATGACGATACATATACTGCATGAGCTGAACCATTAACTGTAGTCAGTGGGGGAGGTAAAGACGGAGATGGAAGAACAAGGAGAAAATAGAATTCACAGAAAAAAAGAGAAGAAGGCAGAAAATTGAAAGACGTTAGAAATGCAAGAAGAAACTTCAGGCAAAACCCTGAAAAAGTAGAACTCAGGCAATTGGAGGGAGGATACGAAAAAAAGTGACGACAAAAAAAGAATCAAATTATTCTTTAGGATTTTTATTTAACTTGTTTATATAAGCATTCCTCTTGAATCGCAGAACTGCTATGATCAGATTCTCAGGTTTCCAATACTCCTCTTGAATCGCAGAACTGCTATGATATGATGTAGCCAGCTAGCACAAGATTGACCTGAACGCACCTTGTGTGACAGTTGCTCTGCTCCTTAATAATTTTCTTATGCTAATGTAATAATTATTGCATTGGGAATAAAACTAACGAAATAAATTTAATGAAATAAGTTAATGTTTCTTTACGTATTTTGTAGCATTCTCTGCGGATTTGCAAAGTGGGTTCCTGGCCTGAAGCTAATGCTGTTTGGAGGCCTTGGCATGGAAAAAGTTTGGGAATTCCAGACCTAAAACATAAAGATTTAAAAAGGTAAGAATGTGAACACAAAAACAAACAAATACAAAAAAAACACACACATAGAGTATAAGCATTAAAAAACTAACAATTGTCCAAAAACAAAGATACAGAAAGTAGAGTGAAAACAGCTAACGCTAAGCTGCAGAGACACGATTATGCCGGTGTTTTGAATTTGTGCACATGCGTTTCTGCAACAAAAGTAAAAGTGACTTATTATTTATGAACTTATTATTATGAACTCTGTATAGTTACAGTTTGGCCAGAAATAATTTAAAACCAATTTCACATAAAAATAGCTGAAGTGGTGATTGAAAACTGACAAAAAAATGAACTAAATAGCTGGCAAGAAAGAAATAATTGGTTGTACTGAATTTGAAAAAAAAAAAAGTCTTTTGCAATAATTAAAAAAACAAACAAATGGAAATTATCCAAAATATTTCTAAAACATATTTTTAGGCTTTAGACAAAACAATATTTAATTATCCATTGCTCGTGTGTGTGTGCGCGTGTGTGTAGGATGCTATGACTTTCAGCTCAGCCTCCACTGCCTCACAGTTCAAGAGCATCATCAACATTAGTCACACACGCACACACCGTGTGGAGCTGTCCACACTGAAGGAGACGCATTACAGAGACGGAGGCGTGTGTTTGTGTGAGCGTGCGCGCCCGTGGGGCCGTAATACGTCTTCATTAATGTCAAATGGTTGCAATAAAGACAAAGGGACGGGGACCGAGGAAATAATCACGGATGTTCCTTCACATACGTATCATGCGTACAGACAGCTGCTAATGATCACGGCGTCTTTGGCTTCTCCGACTTCCTCCGTTCTCCTCTCATGTTCTTTTGCCCGTTCCTCTCCCCCTCTGTTGTCACCTTCAATAACTGAGCGTCTTCATTAATGCCTGCACACAGCAGAATCAGCCATTGTTCCCTAATGGCACACAACTTACCGTGGGTAATTGCGGCACTTGAAGTCTGGCGACCTTTGAACTCATTTATTGGCTAACCTTTAAATAAAAAGTTGGCTTTTTTGCTATTCTTGAAAAAATTATAATAACTTTTTACACTTTTTTTTCTCTTTTGGGAATTGTAGTTTTTATGGCAAACGTCTTGTTTTGCTAGCTTATTTATAGATTTTGTACGTTTGGTCACATAAGTTGTCTCACAATTTTATCCCCAACTAACAAATGTATTAACTAACTAACTGACTTTTCCCAAAGTGGCAGCAGTGAGTCAACTGCAAATTTCTGTTATTATATTTAAAGGTTAATTGGTCAGTGTCCATATCTTGAGGTCACTCTTAATGTGATGTTAGTGCAAATTTCTGTTATTATATTTAAAGGTTCATAGGTCACTCTTAATGTGATGTTAGTATTTTGTGCAGCCAACTTAAAAATCTAGAAAACTCAAACAATAATTACTTACTTACTTAAAAACAAATTTTGCATGGGAACTAAGCGGAGCGGACAAATATGTTGTCACGTTGTGCCATTCGCAGAAGACAGCTTTGTTTACATTGGCCGGTTGTGCCTTATACATTGGATTGAACTTTCTTTTGTTTGTTTCCATTTTTTTTTTGGGAACTTTTTGCCCTTTATTATGGCTTCCAGGTGAAAGTCAGACTCTTCTGATGTTTTTATGTCATATATTATGATGTTAGCACTGTGTTAGCGTCGAGTGACATACCCTCTTGCCTAAAGCTACATACCTTTACTTCACTTATATTTAATGCATTGTTTGGAATCACTTCATTTTCTTCTAATCACTTCGTTCACTGCTGTCTTCTTTCATGTCCTGCCTTTAAACATTAATGTAAACGTATATTCAGTTCAGCTAGGGCAGAATGTTCACATACTCCGTCCAGAACAGACAGCTGTAAACCTGAACTCGGATGAACTGCATTCATAACCCATAGGTTGAGCAGATAGTTGTGGCAGATCTATGATCATATTTTCCAATCTGTGAGCCCTCAACCTCCTGAACTCCTGGGAAAAAAAAAAAAGAGGTCCGTACATCTTCAGCAAA